TTCAAAAAATATTGAAACGTTTTTACGAATATCTATATAAATCATGAAATTGTATTGTTTGCTATAGGAAAAAAAAAAGGAAGAAAAAAAGAGGAAAAAATAATGTTCATAAAAAATGTATGGCTTCGTTGTTCGATTTGAAAAGAAAACTTTATTAAATTTGAAAAATAATATATATATTTGTGACTATTATGAAAGTCGAAGAAAACAAAAAGATGAAAGGAATGATCGTCGGACAAAAAGGGTAGTTCGATATCTCTCGAAGAATCGTTAAATCGAAAGGACATCGATATCATCGAACAGCTGTCGCGTGGCGATCCGCAACAATACTCGAGGTCGTCGTGGATGTCGAGGCGACAAAGAGGGAGGCAAACTTTTTCGATCGTTCGTTATAATGAAAAGCGAAAGGGGTTGCCGCACGAGCCATGACACATAAACGAGAATTTCGCGAGGGTGGGAACATATCGAAAGCTTTAAATAAACAACAAAGCTTTTATCGTATTTATAATATTTGTTTTCTTTTTTTAAATGTATTTTATATTCTTCTTCTTTTTCTTCTTCTTCTTCTTATTATTATTAATATTATTACATATTTATTTATAATTAATTTTATTTTTAATTAAATGATCTATATCTATGCATTGATCTATATCTATTTATATATATATATTAATCATTCTAAAATTATTATTATAATTATTGATATATAATTATTGTATACATTCATATTCAATAAATAATAATAATTGTTAAATATTAATTATTAATATAAATAATTAGAAAGAAATAGTTTATTTAATTATACATATATATTTGTATATACATCTATATATCTATATATCCATGTAATATAAACTATTAAAAACGTATATATATATGATATAATAAAATACTATTATTATCTATTGTTAATGTGTAAATATCAATGAATAAGAACAAAGGTGGGGCATATGTAAGCGACCTTTTGTATTCTATATGTATTTTATAACCCACGCGTCGTTCTCTGTGTTTATGTTGTTTTCTTAGAACGATAGGAAAGGTGTATGATCTTTTTCCTCTAAATGTAAATATCAATGACGCACTCGACACACGTCGTTCAGTTCGACGTCGTAATCCGTAGAGTTAAGACGTATTTAACGTGATTTAGATTCCCGTTAATATTTTATTACAATAATTAATTAATTAATTTAAATAATTAATTTATTATATTTCACATTTCGTTTATATACCAAATAACATGTTTAATTATATTAATCTTAACATTAGGAAAGGATTAAATAGAAAAGTAATTTTTTTAAAAAGATACATTAAATCTTATGTTTATGTATAATAAAAAAAAAATATATATATATGTATCTAATGCGTAAGATAATATACTTAGATTTATTTATATAGATCTTATCATTGTTTTAATATTTTAATAGGTTATATCTAATTATTCGACAAAATAATTGTTTATATCATTAGACATAATCCATGTATATATATATATATATATATATATATATATATATATATATATACTTATTATTTTTTATTAAATAAAAATTAAAATATTATTAAATCAAAAATTCTTAAAAATTATTTTTATTTCTATAGATTATATTATAATAAATATATATATATATATATAATATAATCAAATTATATATATATATTCATTATATATATTATATATATAATATATTATATATATTATATATATATATATATCAAATTATATATATATATATATATATATATAATAAAATTTCTTAATATGTATAAATAATAATAATTAACTAATAAAAATATTTTATAACTTAAATATATACATTAATAATTATTTATACATTATATTATATCATAAATAAATTCTTATCTTTAAATATTTCTTTTTTTTTTAATTTAAAAAATATACATTAAATTAAATTAAATTAAATTATATATATATAATTATTAATACGTTTAATAACATTAATCAATGAATATAATTTATTTTCAACATAATAGGGATAACTGTATCGCAATAGACATTATTCGATACAATTTATATATCTACACATACATTGATACGTATACATATATGTATTATTTATCGTATATGTTAGTTATGTTAGATATAATTTATTTTCAGCCTCGTAATCGTGATAACGACTTAACGATATTCTAAGATCTTTTTTATTTTACGAGATTTTTTTTATTTATTTATTTTTTATTTTATTATTTAAAATAAGAGAATGATATAGGAAGAGAAGAGGTGGTGGGTGTGGGGTTAGATCATTGAAAGGATTCAAAGGACAATTAGATCCTTGAACTGGTCCGAAAATGATCCTGAAAATCGGCCGATCCGTATTTATCTTCTTCCTCGTGCATTCGCTTAGGTACAAAGGCAGGAAGGCAGGCAAAGCAGGTAGGCTTTTCGTGAAAGCGGATTGGATTAGGATTTGGAAGAAAGGGGTGGTGGTGATGGTGGTGTAGTGATGGTAGCAGTGGTGGTGGGTAGAACGGGCCGAACCCAATTTGCATACCATAAACCACGTCGTGGCCTGAGATTCAATTTGACAGAAAAAAAGAAAGAAAAAAAAAAGATGAAGAAGGGCAAAGAAAAAAGAAGCCCCCAGGGTTAAAGAAGTTCGTTTTTATTTATTTATTTATTGTTTTTTGTTTTTTATTCATTTATTAATATACATCGAATAAATCGACAATATTAGATAATGAATTAATTATAATTAGGTGTTTTATATATATATATATATATATATATATATATATATATAATAATATATAGAAAATATAAGAATATTTAAAACTGTATTTTTATGATATAAGAATTAAATTTAATGAGTATTAGATTTACATTTAGAAGTAAGAAATTAAATTGTTGAATTTAATATTACCGATGATGTAATCGTTAACGTTTTGATTTCTAACACGTTTAATCATGTTTTCGATCTAGAGAGTTATAGTTACGAAGAAAGAGAGGTCATAGCAATGTTTACATTGATCGATAAGTCCAAGATCGATAAGTCCAAGCTTTATTATTTGTTTTGCTTATCTTTTAATTTCCTTCGTATCATGTAATGCGTAATTTTTATACATTACAATATTAATATTATATACATACATCCCTATATATAAAATTTATATATATATATATATATATATATATATATATATATAAATATATCATTTTATATTTTAATCATTTCTTTTTATTTAATATCAATCATTCTATTAGAATTGTTTAGTTATTATTTACAATCCGTATGATTACGTGTTATAAAAGATATTAATCTCTAACAAAAATGTAATAATTTGATAGTGAAACGTATGACAGATGTAGGAACATGTGTTTCCGAAAGGCGTGAAACGTGTGTTCTATCATGAATTACTATACCATACTATTCAAGTATCTAAGTATTACAATATGTATATATATATATATACACTCACTCACACACACATACACATATATATATATATATATATATATACACATACGTTCCATTTATATTCGGTTTGTCATTGGATCCACCGTCCAAAGTGAAACTCCACGCTTATTTCTCGTATTACAAACGGTGGCGAGTACAGTGCTTTAGGTAATCATCGTATAATAGCAAAGGAATAATAAATTCCAGAGACTACGACAAAGAGAAGGAGAAGTAGAAGGAGAAGTGGTGGTGATAGAGGGGGTGAGCCTTCGAATTTTATCCATAAGTAAGAGAAAGAGAGAGAGAGAGAGAGAGAGAGAGAGACAGAGAGAGAGAGAAAGAGAGAAGCGTAGAAGCGGAAAAACGCCTGCGGCTTTTGCTAGGGGACCAATATGGGCGCCTTAAATCAACTCGAGGGCACCCTCGTATAAAAACCACCCTCTGCCATATCTAACCAACCTCGTTCCCCTTGTACCCGACCTCTCAGTCTCCTTAGGCTCCCCCACCACCCCTCCCCCGAATGATGATGTTTATTATTCACTTAGGATGCTCACGTTCTCTCTATTTATCCCCCGCAGAGGCAGATCAAGAATCGTGTTACCCTTTCTAATGGTCCGACGATTAAATACTTCAGTATTCTTATCTTTTTCTTTTTCTTTTTTTTTTTTTTCATTTTTTTTTTTTTGCCTTTTCGTTCTCATCCTCGTCGTCTTCTTGTTCTTTCTTCTTTAATTTATTATTATCATTATTATTATTGTCATTATTATTTTCTTTTTTTGTATTGTTTCTTTTTTTGTATTGTTTTATTTATTTATTTTTTTGTTTTTATTACAACTGGCAGTAGAAAATTTTCGCCGGTATATTCTAATCGAAATTATATTTCTATTTCGTTTTAATTCGATTTTCTTATTTTTCTTATTTTTCTTATTTTTTATTTTTATTTTTTTCTTGGTTTTATTTTAAGAATCGAAGAAAAGAAAAAATAAGTAGATATAGAAGATATTTTATTTAGATATTTGTTATATTTTATAATCGTTTACTTTCTTTGCATTTATGGTATCTTTTTTCTTTCTTTTTTTTTTTTTTTTTTTTTCGTTAAAAAACGTTTACTTGCGTTTTTTTAAAGAAATTTTTACGCTTTAATTTCATACGAGATTTATTTTATCGTTAGAAATTAGATCGTGGTTTCTTCTTTTCACTTTACCAGCTTCTCGTTTTTAACTTTTCTTTCTGGTTTTTTTTTTTTTTTTTTTTTTTTTTAATAACGTAATAATTTTAATCATAGTTTTGAGAGATACAACATGTCGAAGTGTATGAATATCTATGACAAAATCTAATCGCGTTGGATATTAACGTCAGATATAACGTCGAGAAGTGAGACGTATCGAGGTTATATATATATATATATGTATATTATATGTATATATATATATATAATTGATTTTAACAATAATTAAGATTATCAATTTGATTAATAATACAGATATATATATATACACACAGAGAGATCATGCACGATTTCTCGTGTCTTGTTCAAGTGGTTAAAATCGGAACGATTTTTAGCATAAACGAAGAGGATAAAAAAAGATGGAATATACACGAGAACCATGTCCTTGGAGAATAATCGACGATTGTGGGGGTGCGTTTGCGATGGGTTTGATAGGAGGCTCACTTTTTCAAGTAAATTTATCGTTTCTGATAAATTAATAAATTATTTTATTTAATACATATATATATATATATATATTTGTTTTTTTGAATTTGTTACGAAATTTTTTTGAAAGTATAAGAAAAATGATATCTCCCAGTAGTATAATTTTTTCGAATTAAAAAAAGCAAAAAGGGCAGGAGAAAAGTACATAATCGTGCTTTTAAGAAAACATTTAAATTCATATATAGATCTAATTCAACATTTGTGTTATATAAACAAAAAATAAAATAGCTATAATTTTATATTCGATAGCTATAATATTTATATTTGTCTATCACTATTATTATTTATTAGAATGTAATTTAGATTTATTTTATCTACAGGGTTATCGTATAGGTTAAAATTATATAATACCTACAGGTGATAATTTAAAAAAGAAAAAATAAAGATTATATTTCGTAACTTAATCTGAAAAAAAAGCAAAAAAGAAAGAAAAAAAGAAAAAAAAAAAAAAAGAAAAAAAAAGAAAGAAAAAATATAAGCACACAGACAGAAGTGCTGCTTATATGCAAATGGAAAAAAAAAAAAAAAAAAAAAAAAAAAACAAAAAGGATGTTTAATTTCTGTAAAAATTTCAGAGCTTTATCGGTTTCCGTAATGCACCGTCAGGCTTTCGAAGACGACTTTATGGTGGTTTGAGTGCAATAAAGATACGGGGACCTCAAGTGGCCGGTAACTTCGCAGTATGGGGTGGCCTATTCTCAGCGTTCGAGTGTACTCTGATTGGTTGTCGTTCGAAGGAAGACCCATGGAATTCGATAATGAGCGGCGCATTGACTGGCGGCGTTTTAGCTGCCAGAACTGGGATACCATCGATGTTGGGTAGCGCTACATTCGGTGGCTTTTTATTGGCACTGATAGAGGGTGTCGGTATCATGGTGACCCGTCTTCAAGCGGATTTCTTTGCACAACATAATACCATATACGAATTGGAACAAGTACCGAACGGCAAGAGATTTATTTACATGGGAAATGTGTCCAACGTTGAAAGACAATCGAATAATGTACCGACCAATTTAGAACTCGAACGAATCGCCAAAGTTTGGTAAACTTTTTTTTTTTTTTTTTTTTTCTCCTCTTCTTCTTCTTCTTCTGCTTCTTCTTCATCTTCTTCTTTTCCTTTTTTGCTATTGCTATACAATGTTTTTCTTGCTTCCTTTGTTAACAACGTTTACTTATTCTTTTTTTTTTTTTTTCTTTTTTGTCTTTTTTATTAATTATATTCCAACATATCCTTGTATATCTCTTTATCAATCTAGAGATGGATTTATAATATTTGATATTTTTCTTTAATGATCTCCTTCTTTCTCATTTCCTCTTCTTCTCTTAATCTCTTTTATACGTTTTTACCAACCATCGATAACTTAAACTTAAGATGTTAGAAAGAAAAGAGAAAGGTAGAACGAGAAAGAGAGAGAGAAAGAGAGTGGGAGGGAGAGAGAGAGAGAGAGAGAGAGAGAGAGAGAGAGAGAAAGAAAGGCAACATTTGATCGAGAGATAATCCACGTAGTTGTCATCGTTGTCATCGTCGTTGTCATCGTTGTCGTCGTCGTCATCGTCGTCGTCGTCGTTGTCGTTGGTAGATCCAACCGAAGATAGTAAATAGGTAAAAGGAAAGATCATCGAATGAGAATGAGGAAGAGAAGGGTTAAAAGATAGGAAGGGAAGACGGGCCAAGATCATTTATTGCAAGGTGCTAACGATTGTTTTGACAGCAGTTCCCCATGTTCAAAACCTATGCCATCGATGGACACGCTTTCGTGGTTACACCAAGAGAGATGCTCCAAAGTCCCCATTGTTACTCTAGACCGATTGGAATCAATATTTACACTCGAATCCTTGTAAGCCTAGGATTAGCACAGGACTAAACCGATCTTTCCAACCCTTTTTCCTTCGAATGGAAGAGATTCAAACGGGTTGGTTAACGAGCATTCAAGTTTTTCTTTTCTCCAGAGGACCAATCGAATTGTCCAATGTCACTATACATTGCATTTATATATATATATATATATATATATATATATATATATATATATATATATTTCTATTTCATTCGTTTTCTTTCGAAGAAGTGGAAGCACGCTTCTCTTCACTCGAGGACCACCATAAACGATTCTTTCAACGATTCCACGTGTCCAAAAAGAACTGAGTGCTTGAAAAGAAAGATAAAGAGAGAGAGAAGGATGAGAGAGAGAGCGAGAGAGAGAGAGAGAGAATTTAGGGAGTTGTGTTAGAGGCGTGACTACATCGGTAGATATTTTAGTTAGGGGTGAGAGACGACTACAATGCAAAATCCCTGTCTCTTTCTCTCTTTTCCTCTCTCACTCTCACTCTCTCTCTCTCTCTTTCTTTCTTTCTTTCTTTCTTTCTTTCTTA